GGTAAGTATGTTGCAACGAGGGCCGGGGCGCTGGTTACGTAGCCTCCTGCCGCGTCCCACCCACCTTCAGGCGGCGAGGTGGGACTAATCGAAACGCGCCTCACCCAGTCACCCTGCCGCGCGAGCGCTGGATCTGCTGCCTGCGGGAATGGCCGAGTGGGGGAGTCGGTTCGCTATTTTGATGATGGGCTGGTTTCTGCAGCCCATGAAGAAAGCCCATTAAATTTTCCGACTCGTGCGCGCCAACCTTTTCGTTGCCCGCTCACCGACCGGCGCTTCAGAAAAAAAATTTCCCCAATTCATTCATTCACTCTGCCGCTCTCCAATCCGGTCGCGGCGAAGCTCGGCCACCCGACCCGATGCCGTCGGGGTCGGGCTCCCGGGGCAGGCGACCGCGGCCGGCCGCTGCCCCGGTTGTACAAGTGAGCTCGTCCGGCTCAGGTGAGGAAGGGAGCGACGAGGAGGAGGAGGAGGAGGAGGGGAGCGAGGGACCCGGTGAAGGTTCGAGGGGCCGGGGCGGCTCGGCCACCGAGGATAAGTCGGCGGAGAGCGAAGGCGAGGCGGAGGACCCGTGCCTTCCCAGCTGCCCCATTTGTATGGTCGCGTGGACCGCCGATGGCGCGCATCGCGTGAGGTGAGGATGAATTGTATATTTCAGTGATTTTGAGGATTTGCGGACCAGCTCCTTGTCTCGCGTGGTTCACAACTTCTAATAATTCGCTGATCTAGTACCGGTGTGGTGTGGGTTGGCTGAAACTATGAATTTCGGAATCAGCTTACTATGGTTTCTAACCAGTTCGCTGTTTATGTTTTAGATGGTGACCCTTTTGATTCATGAGCACTGTAATTGGGTGTAGTATGAGTTAATCTCTAGGAGTGCACAATTGCTATGTGTTTAGAAGTCTCTGGATCTGAATATAACTGCACTAATTCGCTGGAGATTACTTGAGCATGTCACTTTCATAAAACGCTACAAATTGTGTGCAAAGAGAAATAGCTTTAATTTTATGATTTGTACTTGTATTTTTTTTAGCCTGATTTGTACTTGTATTGCTATGCTAGAAAAGGGGTTATCGTCTAAATAGTATGCAAGCGAATGGTCCTGGTTCCATTAGTCCGCTAGCCTAGTGATTTATAGGGGATATGGGCATGAAGCATGTGAAGGGCCACGGATTTTATTATTATTTTCTTATCATTAGGGCACCTAGAAAATTGCTAGTGATGCAAAGACAACTTATCTTTCATTCATTCGTTAGGATTTTGCTGATTTGTTGGCCTATATACCTGCTTATATTCATATCATTCTGAGTGGAGGATCTTAAATTGCTAACTGTGTGATATTCCACGTCTAGTTGCATCCCTTGTGGGCATGTCTATGGCAGACATTGCTTAGAGACATGGTTATTGCAGTACGGCAAGAAAAAGGCACCGGTATGCTGACTGTTGAGCTCAGAATAATAGTGTTGTTTTGGGGATCCTTCTGATTGATCAGATTCATTGTTTATACTTACTCAGTGTCCTCAGTGTGGCAAGAGATATACACAGAACAACATCATCAACCTCTATGTACCAGAGATTGCTGTTCCCAGTAATGATCTTGAAAAGGTTAGTTATGCTTCTTTGCTTTCCTTGGAGGTATTTGAGTTGTGGCCATCTAGTGATGCTTGTTTGATTTATGCAGCAAGTATTGTCCTTGAGAGAGAAAAATGAATCTCTTGAGAAGCAAGTAAGCACCCTCTTTTGTACAATCTATGTTTCCACTTTAAGCTGGCATTAGGGTCATTCTGTCCCGGAGCAATTGATACAAATTGCATATCCTATTCCCAAAGCTTATGCTTTCTTTATGTTTCCATGCAGCAAGCAAAATTACTTGAGGAGATAAAAGAGTATAAGGTACCTGCACAAATGAAATATTGTCTCAGTAACTGAATTGACCAATTTTCTAAGGAAACATGGGTGACTCCTGATGTATTTTGTTACAAATTAAATTGAGCAATACTTTCTGTGCATAAACCCTACACGCTCAGTAGAGTTTCGTGTTCAATCCTTTATGTTTCCTAATATCACCTGCAGAGGATAATTATGTTGCAACAAAATATAATATATGAATCAAGCTCAAAGAGACAGGTAAGCACTAGTATCGCTCAAATTTTAACGATTAATCATTGTAATAGAAGCTTTAATGTTAACATGTTTACAATCAACTGTGAAGAAAATGACAGAGCAGTCATCAGATGGAATACCAGGGGCAGAGCCAATTGCCTCACTTACAAAGAACATTGATCACAACAATCTGTCAAGTTTTGCTCTCCAGGTCTGTTTTCAGTGTTGTCTGATTCCCTCTTTCTAGTTCCATTTGATTATGTGGCCTAATGTAACTATAGCTGTTTAATGTTTACTATTACTTATGAAGCATGTGCCTCTTACCATGCCAACTTCAATCATACAGTCAGTGGAACAGCAGCATCACTATAGCAGTAGAGTTATGAAGGAACTTTGTCATTCACCAACTCACAATTGCAGCATGTTTTGTAGAATGAGTTTTTGGTTGATGGAGCTCGAGTCATGGGTATAGACGCATCCAGTAAGATTATATTCACTTCGGGAAGGGCACATGGAGTTGGTGCTGAACACATCCTTACAAAGGTACAAGTCTTAATAGAAGCTTTTGCTTAATGACTTCAAGTGAGTAACAGTTTTTACAGTAAACTGTTGTTGATTATTCACCTTTCGCAAATCAATTCTTAATTTCAACAGATCAGCATGTTTCGTAGACATGGAATGGAGAAGATCTACCTCCCACCTGATACTAAAGCTATTAGGGATATCTGTGTACTGCCTGGGGGTGATGCTGTTTTTGCATCACTGGGCAGGAAGTTGTCTCTTTTCAGGTCTGTAAAGAAAGTGTGCAAGTTATATTCTTCACTGGTTTCTTGGCTACATTTACTCCAATATCTGACATTTGTTCGCATGTTTTATATCCCAGCGTGGCCACCAACAATGTTGTCCTTCAATATGATCTACCGGTAATTCTTCGACCTTGCAATTTCACAAAACTTGCAGCTATTTTTATGCTCTTCATGCTACCAAAAGTATATATTGTCTTTTCTATTACTTAGAACTAGGTATGAGCAAGTTTGTTCCATTTCTATTTGTTCTCTTGTAGTAGCTCCAGCTCTTGGATATTGAAAAAAACTATCACTATACATTCACTACATTATGTATTTTAATTTTAAGAAGATCAACAAGTGCTTGGTAATCAGAGCACTTGTTTTTTGACAGACATGTATACTTTTTTCTTAAATTGATTTTAAGGTACTGAATAGTTAAGAGCTGCTTAAGTAGGAGTAAGTGAACCAGTAAAAATGTGAAATTGTTTATGCTGACCTGCTAATCTTCTGTATTGTGACGTCTTGCAGGCTCCTGGTTGGTCCTGTTCAGGGGATTATACTACTTCAACTCATATTTATGCTGGATTACAGGTTTATTTTTTGGAATGCCTTGTGATTCTTCTAAGCTTTTGGCGCTCTTTGGAGGGTTCAATGGATATTCTTTTTTTTTATTTTTTTCAGAATGGCATGATATTGGTCTTTGATATTCGTCAAACTTCAGCACCTTTGTACTCTAGCATGGGTCTATCGACACACCCAGTTCATACAATACACTGTGCTGTAGATGACAGTGGTTCCAGAAAGCTTTTTTCTGCTTCTTCTATAGGACCCTGCGTTTGGGATGTCAGCGAAAACAGGTATGCTGTAGTCTGAAAAGTTTTTACCCAATTCGTCAGTTCCTATTGATGTGCTTCTCATGGTCTTTGAAATTAGGATTTGGTTATTTGTAGTTCCCATGAGTTTGGGCTCTTTTTTCAGGCCAAGCTTGGTAAGCGGGATGGAAAACCAAGGAGTCTGCATATCTCTTGCGTGCACCTCTCCATCAAGTGATCTCCTGGTGGCTTCGTATCGCCCGAAAGTTGAGCTGCCAGATGATAGTGCCACACCTCAAGCGGCTACACAATCACCGGCACTCACTGGTTCAGGAAAGCTAGGATGCCACACACTCCTCAGGAGGACCACCACCACATCCTTTGCCAAGGACCATATCTGCAGTGGTAGCGTAAGTGAGTTGCGAATGTCGAAGTCTGCAATCATTCCCTGCGGAGGCAATCAGCATCTGTTTGCCTATGGTGATGAATCGCTGTACAGAGTCCGGACTTGGCGGCTGCCTTCGTTTCAGAGGTACACCGATCTCAAGCCCCACAGGCAACCAGTCCTTGATCTAAGGTTTGCTGAAAGTTCAACTGGGGAGAGATACCTTGGTTGCTTAAGCGCCGAAAAGCTACAGGTTTTCACAGTTAGGTAGCTTAACAGAGACAATCATTGACTTCATTCTTTAGCTTTGTTTATGGTAAGCTGTGCATGCTAACAGTTGGTTCTTCACTAGCTTTGCTGTACAAGTACAGACCACTCTTGCTCCGTACAGTGTTTACTAAAGACAGCGTGTAAAACCATGCTGTACATTTCAGATAACCTGTTGTAAGTGTAAGAGGCTCCAGTATACAATACACTGGTGAGTGAAGGATTGCATATGCTGTTAGAGTTGTACTGATGCCTTATCGCATTGTGTCATAAATCAAGGAAACAAATGGGTAGCAATCTGTCACACCTTTGATGCTTCCTGCTATGCTCACTCGCTGATATTTTCAGTTTGTAATCATCATTGTACTTCACTATAAAACGTAACATCAGGCATTCACTTGTTCTTTCTATACCTTGGTATTCATTCACTTTTTCTTTCTATACCTTGGTGATCTTTCGACGGAATTATAATTTCATTTTTCATAACATAACTTGATAATGATAATTCTATCAGATTGGATCGTTTTTCTTCTTCCAAGTTATATTCAAATGTGCGTTTGGATTGCGAGTTGCTCACAGTTGCATAACGCTGTGCTGTGCGACCCTAACAGCTCGTCACTGTAGGTGTAGCAGTGTTGCAGCGTTTCAGCACTCGGGGTAGAGCGAGTGGTCCCTGGACGCGTCGAGGCAGTAGTAATACACCATGGAGTTCCGCTGCGCCCACCGCATGGCGGCCTCCTGCTGCGCGCTGAGCGTCGCCGTCCCCGACGACGGCGACGCCGGCACTGGTTGGCAGCCAGTGGACGCGTCAGCGGCGCACCCGCCGATCTTGAGGCCGGCGAACCGCGACACGAACGGCTGGTACCGGTAGTCAGCGCGGTAGCGGCCGCCGTCGGTGGCCCAGTCGGAGGCGTCCCAGATGGAGCCGTACGCCCACATCTCCCGGTCAGGGAACGTGGCCTCCGTCTTCCTCTCGTACTGCCTGATCGGCACGTCGTCCACCAGGAACCTGCGTGCAGACGCAGCTCGTGTCATGTGACTGGCCGGGCAGGCAGCTAGTAACAAAACCCTGCACGCAGGGGAGACGTACGGAGACTCACAGGATCTGGTCGGGGTTCCAGATGATGGCGTAGTGGTGGAAGTCGGCGGTGGGGTCGAACCAGAGGTGGAACCTCATTTCCCGGCCGACGATGGTGCCGTCGCCGCTGCCGCGCACGTACACGTTGGTCTGCAGCGTGTACGGCTCCCCCGGCACCGTCCCCAGCAGCTCCATGTCGATCTCGTCGTGGTGCCCTGGGTACTCCTCGCTGTTCGACAGCTGCAGCAGCCATGCATTGCATCAGCACCAGCAGAGCATCTGTTGCATGCATTTCTTATAGAGATCTAACAATACCACCCATCCATCACTCTCACTCACGTAGAAGGCGGTGTTGACGCCGGCGGTATACCCCGTCTGCACCCTGACGGACGCGCCGAAGTAGCCGTTCCGGTACGCCCGCGCGGACTTGAACCCGCTGCCCGAGCTGCTGTCCATCCAGAGCGTCAGGGACTTGCCATCCGGCGACAGCGTCTGGTGCTGCGAGCCCCACAGCGTGCGGTACGCCTCGGAGAAGCCCAGCGGCCTGAACATGCTGCTGGGGTAGTAGCCCGGCGACGGAGGCTGCTGCTGCTGGGCTCTGCAGGGCTGCAGCTGCACCGCGAGCAGAGCAAGCGTGCATGCTAGCAGAAGAGCAGCTGCTTGCTGTTGCTGCACCGGAAGATCACAAGGCCTTGCCATCTGGGAGATGACTTGGTGATCGTGGTGAATGTGTCCAGTGAGTGAGTGATCTAGTGTGGTGCGTGTGATGAGTTGCTAATTTTCAGTTCTGCAAGAGGTTTTATAGGTGAGAACTGAGAATGAGATCAGGCCTGTTGTAAGGTGTTGGTCCTACAGAGTAGGAATGGGTTGATGGGAATTGATTTTTAAGCAGAGAAGAGTAGGGACAAACTTTGGAGGTTTGGGGCCCAGGATGAACAAGTGAGGCGTACTAAGAGTGGACATGATTTTGGCTCCAAAAGTAAATGCAAAGAGATGTGGATACTGTCGACAGATACAGACGTGCGTTGTACACTGTTTAGTCCGGTGTTGAAATCCAAGCATGCAACAGTAAAATTTGCTGCCAAATCCGACATGTTTCTTGCTTTTATTCTTCCAATGGTGGCCAAGTATTCCACCACACTTTCGGTTTACTACCCACAAACAGCAAAGAATAAACCAAATTAATTTTACCGCTCCTTCCCTATGATCCAAGTAAAAATAGGTTCTTTCCTGCAATACCATACTCAGGCATAGCATTTCGGCACACCAATTGGACAAAAGTCCTTTTTGTGGTAGCTCGCATCTTGGATCATTTTGCTAATCACCAATAATCTCAGCAGTAGCACTGCGAAATTTCAGAGATGTGATTTGCACAAACGAAATCTTCGCTGGTGCATCATTTGGACTGATGCCGAGATAGATTGTGCCGAAAGCGGCTGAGCTTAAAGACGAGGACAAACTCCCTTGAAGCTAAACTGTTGACGAAGCATGCATCTGCATGGTTGCTCCTTGGCACCTTCCTCATCGTCACAGGCAGCACAGGAGCATCAATCATTAGATTCAGAGCTCCATCACAAGCACCGGTTTCGGATACTGTGACGCACTGCACATAAACTGAAATCTGAACTACTATAAATAAAGGCGAATGATTAGCTTCCGTTTCTCAGCACGTTCGCTTGTTGGTTTCAGCCAGAGCCAGCCAACAGTGTTTTCCTCTCACAACAAACCAGCACCAGCCGGACTTATCAGCCCAGAAACCAACCAGCGAACATGCCGTCTATCTGTTAAGCTCTATGAATGGCATGAAACCCCCAGATGCAATGCAAGTGGTGATTAGTTTGGCCTTCAAAGTTGGATCAATTGCACTACAAATCACAATTTACTCTGCAAGCGGCATTGCTTAAGCAAGACACCAACTGATAAAGTAAACATTGTGCTTTTTGGTATTTTTTAGGTTTATTACTATTAGTTGTCAAACTTGGTCTCTTATTATGCAGACGGTAGTAACTGGTGAAGAAAGTTTCTCTTTTTTGTTTGGAAAATGTGTTAAACTTCACGTCTTGTGTACTGGATCAGTATGATTGGAGGGCTGTTCTTGATCTAGAGAATCTAGCTTCCTGCAGATGCGGACACTGCTCCTGCAACAGTGAAAACGTAATCAGATGCTCCTTTGAAAAACCAAACCTGAATTCTGGGCCCGTGCTTAAAATGTGTACCATAATTGTGTGTACCAATTAGGTATATAAGCTATACGTATGGTATATACTTCTTTCCTACCTGGGGCCCTCCTTGACGCATATAGCAGAACACTAGACTGGACCCTCTATAATCTATGAGTCTGTTCGCTGGTTGGCTTCTGGGCTGATAAGTCCGGCTGGTGTTGGTTTGTTGTGAGAGCAAAATACTGTTGGCTGACTGATAAGCCCTGGCTGAAACCAACAAGCGAACAGGCTGTATAACTCTTATAAAGTAAAACCCCACTATAAGATTTATATGATCCGAGAGCGTTCCACGTCATCAAGTGATTCAAACCATCGGATTCTATTCGTTAATATCTACCCTTCGTTTATCGTCCGGCCTCTCCATCTCCTCTACGTACCGTCCAAGCCAAAGTGGTTTGTCAGTTACCAGACTTTTCAGTACCTCGCAATGCAACAGCAGGCATTATTGTTCAGCCGAGGAGTCCAGAAGCAATTCATCTCCTCTCCCATGCATGCATGCATGCAACGGAAGCAGCAGCAGTAAGCATGCACTAAGGAGTCAAGAAGCAGTTGATCTCCTCCCATGGGTCGGCAGCAGCGGCGATTAAAAGCATGCACTACTCTCCGCGGGGCCCGGTGCCTGATCACATCCGGCCTGTAACCCGTGATGATGGCCTATCTATAGCCAAGAGCCAAAGAGAATCACACAGGTAGTCAACAGGCCGATGTGATCGTCTCTCTTCAGTCTTCACGCTCGCTTCATCATCGCACATGCGCAGCCATATTTCAGGGCAGCTGTTTGCATGGTCCTCCACTCCCAATATATATTAAATTAATCGGGGCGTTCTTGGCCTTCTCCATTACCAGCAATTCCGTCTATCCGCAGAGGTAAGCTTGCCTTTATCCAGGTATATACTATCTTTCATAGTTTCATGCTTATACATACCATCCCTTTGTGGTTTTGGATATGCACGAGAAAATGTAAATTGTGAATACAATCCTGCTAGGCACAGTATGGTAGCACACCTAGGTGAATCAAAAGACATGCCCAATTTGCAAGCACTCTAGGGGCAAATTGGAATTGTTATGCCATTTTCTTTATGTATATTAGGCGCGCGGCAGATTATGATGTAAGACTGTAAGAGTATATATATTGTTCTTTGTATTAGATTTATTTTTCTTCTGTAACTTTCTTCTCTATATATTCGCCCTGTTCGTTTGGGCTTGTTTGGCTTATAAGCCGTATTTTTTCAGCCAACGGACAATATTATTTTTCTCTTACACCAAATCAGCCAACAGTACTTTCAGTCATTGCTTATCAGCCAAACAGGCACAAACGAACAAAGCGGTTGTTTTGAGAAGATGCATGAGCTACAATGCATTGAAGAATATGTATACCTAAATTTCACATTACAAATACGTCATGCAAATACCCAGTACCAATAGGGTATAAATGATTTGCTGCAGAACTTGAGTCCTCAAGGACTAAGTCCAAAAGAATATTTAAGATACAAAAATCCTACCTTTTACTGTAATATATATTCAATAAATATACTAAATCATCTTTAATGCATGCCTAGAAGAATATTACATTTTGAGGAAAGTTCTATAGAATAATCTACTCATTAGTATTTGCATCCTTTACCCTAAAATTTCACCTCTAAATCCCACGGCAACGCACGGGGAATTCATCTAGTTTGTCTTCACTTGCCGACACTAAGAGCATCTCCAAGAGTTTGCTATTTCAACTTGGCATCCATATAATTTTGGCAAAACAAGAAAAAATAGTCTCCAACAGTTTGGCAAAACAACTTGGCATCAATAGCAACTTGGCAAATCTTTCCTCCTCGCGCGTAAATATACACGCGCGTATACGGCTTGGCATCCGGGGCTCTTCGTTTCTTAGCGGGGCTCTTCGTTCGCTTAGCGGGCCTCTTCGTTTTGTTAACGGGTTTTTTTATTTTACCAAGTCAAAAATACCAAACTCTTGGAGATAGATTGTTTTTTTACTTGGCATATAATTTTAGGAGTTGGCAAATCACAAGATTTGCCAAGTAAAATTTGACAAACTCTTGGAGATGCTCTAACGAAGAAAATGTGGTGCAGAGAAAATACATAGCTCACCTGTGTATGGTCTTGAAATACAGAGCATGATCCTTTCTGTAAAGAAGAGCAATTCCACAGTAATGTTTCCCTTTAGATTACCATTCACCATTGACCATTGAATAGAGTTATTATAGACAGAGGCAAAACATGTGGCCTCAAGTGGACCACATTCATCATCTTATGCAGAGCCTTCGTCTAAGGTTGGGTATTCAGTGGTCGACTAGTCGTCAAACGTTTTCTTATTTTCTTCTTGTTGATAAAAGTGAGCGTGAAATCGACTTGATTTTGGGTGCAACGCCGTTAACTTCCGTGTCCGATATGGCAAGGGCATCTTTGCCATCTCCAGCTGCAATCCTGTCGGTGTGCACCAAGGCAGACATGTTATAGGACAAGTTTTGAACAAAACTAAAATAATGGACGTAGTACAAACATCAAAATAATAATCAAACAATTTATACATATTACGTTAAATTTTTCTTCTAATATTTCTAGACGCAAAATGTCATTGTTGACGGTACCAAAATAAATTTCATCAAACAATTTCTTCTCTAGACATTACATACTTCAAATGGTTATTTAACAACTTCAATATTCTTATAAAAGAAACAACTTCAATATTGAAAAAGATTCTTTCAACAAGCCACAACCATAGGCTGATAGGCATAAAGAAATGTATAGCATATATTTATTTTTCTAGCAAAGTAAAATATATAACACTCAACTCGGGAGTTAGATCATTTAACTCAACATCAAATGAATCATCTAGATAGAGTTTCTGCAAATTTAATCAACGGTCTTCAGCTTAGTAGCATTCAACTACCTTAACATTGTTGAGCTCATTAAAAACCCAAATATATATTTTTGAGATTTGAGTTCTTTAAATCTACTTCTTAATACACTGCTTGACATATCAACGATAACAAAAAAAAGTAACAAATTTCAAAAGCTTACTTAGCTGATGCAGAATATCTTTGGCAGTGATCACACATGAAAAGCAAACCCTTCATCTCTAAAGGTGTCAAGGTAATTCATTATACCTTTTATTCGTTATACGGTAGACTCAATGCACACACGGATGGTGATTGCAACTTCTTTTCTCACTGTTCTTTCAGGAAATAAATGTATATCAAATAACCATAACAAGTATAAACTCAAATATGTCAAGCACACTTCAAATTTTTTTGGGATTATTCATATCCTTGAGTTTGATATCACTATCTTCACTTAACCAAAGGAGAGGTGACTTTAGTTGAGGAGCTTGATATCTAATTGTTTTGACACTTTTGATCCGACTCTCCTGATGGCAAATACTTGTATTGTAGGTACCCTCATGAGCTTATGGAAATCTACATGGTCTCATAGTTGTAAGTAACTTTTGGCATAATTACTTTT